ATTCAGAAAAGTATAGAGTCAAACATGACACCAGTATAGGCTTTTAAGGCCTACAAGTAAAAAAAACCTACAGTTTCCGCAAAAATGACGTCACTTCCGGTTTCGGACAGGAAATGGCAGACATGCGATAGTTCGCGTTGACTTCTTTTTCAATGTGGGAAGTGTTACAAACAGCTGATCGGATCGGCAAAGCGTGTTTCTGGAATATTATGTTTTTGTTCCTGCAAGCGCTTTTTATGCAATCATTTACTCGGCTATTCTCTCTGAATGACAATTCAAAACAATATGAAATGCACGTTCAAATACATCTTTACCTCTAACTTTTAACCCAAATACCTATGTATTCTGATTGTTTTAACCAACATACCAGTGCTTGGTCTTAAACCAATTTAGCTTAGTAGCTCACAAATATATGAAAAAGTCATGTGTATGCTGGCAGGCTTAGCTTTAGCTTTAACATTCTCAAAATCACTTTTCAGAACCAGTAAACAGTCGTTCTTCACTGCCAACAGCAGATTAACATTCATATTCACAATATCAGGACACAACAAGGAGTTTATTCAGCTAAAACGACCTGAAATAAGTGGAGAAAGTAAACCAAAATGGCGCCCGCGGCTGGCTAGGCTTTGGCATTTTTCCAGTCCTTCTACTTCATACAACGTAACAAATAAAGGGTTTACCCACTGATTTATACCCCACATTTAGCTGTGTTTCTTATCAATATTTTACAACCGTTTTAATGTAGTTTTACCGGTTACAAACCTGCAAAACAGGGAAATGATGAGACAGAGACGACTGGTGAAGTTTCTCTTTGCCTCGCTTCTGCCATATTGGAGAGGAGGACCTATGACCTCGCTATTCTGTCTCACTGAGCAATGCGCCACCCGGAGGCTGGGGGTGCAACTACCTCATTACACATAGTTCACTTCGGTGACAAATCTCTCTTTCTTTTAACAAGTACTACTTCTGATGGGATCACATATTAGTGTGTCACACTATGCAGTTGGTTTAGAGTGGCCCACTGGACCTTTCTGAATTTTGTCTTCATGTCCTAAGAACTACGTGCTACCCCCTTAATTTTCACTTAGCCCCACAAATTATACATCAAAACCTAGGCATTTTTGCTGGTTTTCAGAAAATGTCATTCTCAGTTTTTGTGGGAGTTACACAGTTTTGGCAAATCTCCTCAGAGCAACACAAAGTCTGAAAACTCTCCATAGAAACTCAGTGGAGACTTTGCTCGAAATCACCGCTGGAATTCTCTAATGAGACGCATTTTTGAATCGTCATATCTCTGTAACATAGCAAAGTGAAAACATGAGGCTTGTGCCAGTATATCTTCAGACACTTCCCGTTCACAATTCAAGAATTTTTTTATCTTTCCCTCTTTCTTTTCCCCAGTCAAATCTGGGGAAAAGAAAGAGCAAATTTAGCAAATGAAAATAAAATAAATTAAACAATAAAAGGTGAATCAAATAGACCATTACGGCAAGGCTGGGATGGTCCATTTGGTAAAGTAAATCCTTTGGGCATCTTTCTTTGCCTTTAGACAATAATTCTGATGGCAAAAGAGCCAAACGGGACAGGCAAAAAACCCCCAAAGAAACAAAACATTTTTTATCACCTATTACCGTTCTGCCATGAGTTACGTTTGTTTGAGGGTAGGAAATCAGTACTTCTCTCAGATTTCTTAAAATTTCAAACTCTGAAAATTAAGCACTTTTTCTCTTGTTATATCTTTTTGATGGATTTCCACAGAGTCCTGAAAATTTCCTTAACTGTTCACCAAAGCCTGCTGTATCTTATGGTGAAAGAATGATATCGATGCTCCCTATAGATTTAGAGTTACAAGCCGTTATTTGAGAGCAAGTCAAGGCAGTTTTCACTTCACCTCTACTCAGTTATGGTACATTACAAGCCATATATCTTTATTAATTCATATTTTAATTATGATTTATCAACACTTGAAGATCCCCCCAACTCTTCTGAACAGAAGAGTCTAAGAATGACCGTTCTAGCCCGTACGGTTAGGATAATATGGCCTTTTGTTCCAGGGGAATCTACAAAAGAAGAAATACACTGCAGAAAGCCTGAGCCTCTCTGTGTCTGTGGGGCTGGCTTCAGCAGCTGCAGCCGTTTTGGTGGGAGAAAGTACACAGCCTCTCTGATTGGTGGATTGAAATTGAGCAGCTCCAGGCTGTTTGACTGGCATAGATACACACAGTCAATGCAGTCACTTTTCTTATCCCTCCTAATACAAGTGCATAAACCGATCTACGTTAGCTCTGGTAATTCTGATGATCTTTAAATAAATCTTTGTTAAATCTCTTTATTTGATTTTTGGAGAAGTTAAATTACAAAAACATCTTCAATCAAATTTGCTTTGGTGGACAGAAAACAACAGTTGTGGACTGCTTGGGGTTAACTTTCATAATGTGGGACTAGTATTTTCAAAAATGAAGTCAGTTCTTCTGACCGGGTTCAGACCAGGATGAACACAAGTATAATATTGAACCTGAAGTATGATCTTTCCACCCACTAGGGAACCGCTCCCAGCTGTGGGTTCACCTCCTCCTGCTGAACTCATAGAGCAGCAAACAACCAGTCCAGGGACAGACTCTAATGTAGCATCACTTTCATCGGTCACTGATGTGAAGCATGACAAACGTGGCCTCTCTAAATATGAGTAACTAAGAAAACATGTCAGTAGGCATCCTAGTAATTAATGACTTAATTATTTGGGGTATTATTGCTATAAAAATGATAATAGTATTATTATTATTATTATTGTGCTTTGGGCTTTAGGCTGCACTGATAACGCAGAGGTCTCTTCTTCCTCTGGGCTGTTTAAAGGGCCAGTTTATCCAAATGACCAAAGCTGTGTATATACCAGCTGCTGTCAGGCTTCAAATGTTTGCATTAGTCCATAGTCCACTGTTTGTAAGCCATTGCTTTACTGCTTAAGTTCCCATCTACTGTAACAAAATGGAGATAAGCAGGCACATAATATGAAAAGGCATGCTGGAGCTGACTTTGTCTTTTCTGATCCATCGGTTTGTGTAGCTCGTTTCACAGGAGTGATAACCCGCACTTTATTTACTTATATGATAAATTAAGTTTAGTGCAATGTAGTGCAAAATACACAGTGTTTTCTTTTAATTTAACAACATGAAGCTGCATCAAGTTTCCATGGTGACTGCTCAAGGAATTCTGCATTCATAAATAAACATCAGACTGTCAAAAGAGCTCATCTGTGCGAGACCACCGAGCTGAGAGCATTTTCAGGTCCAGATCCCCCGTACGCCATCGTTGGAGAGCAGTTAAAGTTTTTCTTCCTGACTGTGATTTGAAAACGTCTAAATGGAATCAAGTCAAGGAATCTATAAACCTATCAGGGTATGTGACGTTTTTGTTTTTACTGCATTTCAATAATATGAAGAATTTGATGTAGTTTTAAAAGTTGACAAACTGAGAATCCTTTTAAGTAACAATGACTAAATTGCTATTTCTTTGACAGGTGTTGTTCAACACACCGATTTATGAAACTGCTGTAAAGATCTGCTGGCATCTTCCGGGCTACAGGACTCAGGTTAGACCCAGATTCATGCAAACCAAAGCTGACAGAAAATATCAGGTCATTTCTGAGGACCTGAGAGTGGTGGTGATTAAATGTCTCCTTTACTTTTAGATTGCGATTATGACGGAGTTTCTCAGACTTCAGCAGGAAGATCTAATTCCACCGAACCTCACTGCTGAAGATCTGAGAGATCTTTTGGTGGAGAAGAGCAGGGAGACACTCGGAGAGCAGTGTGACACCTGAAAGTCTGATTGTGGTGACGTGTAAATGCTGAGAGAAAACCTCTGTATTTTTTTCTTTTGAAGGCTGTGGGAGTTTGAGTTACAGGATTTTGAAGAAGAGGAAGCCAAACCTCTTCTAAGGCTGGTAAGACGAGAAAACTCACCAGACTTTGGAAATTTCTTTTTTTCATTATGTTCACAAAACGTTTAAACATAAGCGCACTGTAAATGTGTTTTCGGTTTCAGGTATGGGCGGTGAACGTCATCAATAAAATGAGGGACGTTGAATTTCAAACCAGAATGCTTCTTCAGTTCCCAGAGGCCGTACCTCCTAAATTTCAGTGAGTCACATGTAATATACAGTTATTAACCCTGTAAGACCCAACCTAGGGCTGTTCGATATAACGATGTATATCAGATGACAATATAAAAAACATCTAACGTTTCATTTTACGCTATCGTTTGTTTCGTGGTGTCTCAAAATAAACTGTTTACAGTGATATTTTTTCATGTTCTGATGTCACTGTAGTTATTATTCATTTCTTAAAGTTCTCTCTTTCTCTTATATTTAATATAACCACACTACGGACGGACAAGCGCCTGTTTTTATGCGTTGTCGTTAGCAACAACTACAGTAAAAC